ATCTCAAAAAATTCGATTTAAGAAAAATAAAGAATAATTTTTTGCATTTATCCAGCAAAATTTTTTTAAATCATTTAGATTTTCTTTCATTGAAAAATAAGCAAAAAGTCACTGAAAATACCCAAAAAAGAATATTTCAGGCCTAATTTTCCTATTTGGTTCCATTAATTCAAATAAAACTCGTAAAATGAGAAGTATTTTCGTTTAAAAATGAATTAAATCAAGCAAAAATATTTCAAAAATGTAGCTGAAAAAAGTCTTATTATCACTGCAATTGCATTGCAAATCTTTGCGATTAATTGACCAAAATTTCAAAATTTAAAGTCACTTTTCGTTCAATAATAATTTAGATAAAACTGTTCAAAATAACGTTTTTGCGACCAATTTTGGATGTAACAATTCAGCAAAATCTGTTTAAAATAATAGATTTTCATTAATAAATAAGCAAAAATTTTTATACGGAGGCAAACGACCAAAATTTTTACAAAAATCAGCAAAATCGTTCCAAATGCACTTCTAGGAGTCTAAAAACTCACAAAAGTGCACAAAACGCAATTTTTGAAAAATTTTGATTAGATCAGAGACACTGTCCGGGGGCGTGGTGGCGCAGCGATCAACTTTTTTTATAAGAAAAAAACTTGGTTGATAATTAAAGAATCAAACAGGTCGTGGTTTTAACTCGCCATTAGCATTTAATCGGTCGTTGTTTGCCACCTATTTACCGGAATTTGGGGCGTGCATACCGCCGCCGCGACGCTATTTATTCTCTTCTCTCTCCGCCTCGATAGATTTATATTTGTTTGGCGAAAAACGGTGCTCTGTAGCGAGTAATTTATGAAAGTGTGAAAGATAAACATTTTGCTATTAAAAAAGTGTATTATTATGTCGGCGAAATGGAGTCTACGAGGGATTAGGGACGCTTTTTAACATCGTAAAGGGCCATTAGGGCAAGTTGGACGGTAATTCGTCTAATGCTCGAGAGAGGTGATCGAGTTTCAGGCGCGGTTGGGGAATTTTTCATAATTTAATGGATCGCTGAAAAAGAAAACTTGCCTCGGGATTGGATTAAAAATTAAATATGAACTAAATACGATTTGTTTCGTTTCTAATGAAAATCTAAACGATTTTAATATTGAAACACCCTGTATTCTAGAAAACCGCTAAAAGTAAAATTTCTCGCCAAAAATCAAATACACATTTTGAATTTTTCGCCAAAAGTCGATTATACAAAGTTGCATAAAAATCTTGTTTCACTATTTTGTAAAACGTCAAAATCACACAAAAAAAAATTTAACTTATAGCTAACATCGAAAAAAATTCGCTTCTACTGGAGTTATTTCAAACATACTGTATATTTGGACAAGAGACAAGTTTGATAAAAAATTAAATTCACTGTGTATTTTGAATTTCCCGCCACAACCCAAACATACAAAATCGCACTTTAGAATTTTTGAAAAACACTACATTTTTAAAATTTCACATTTCCAGTCTAATTGAAATTAAAAAAATTATGTTTATTAGAGACTGTTATTTGAAACACTCTGTATGTGTCTTATTGAAAATGAAAATTTTTAAAATTAAAATTTTCCGCCAAAAATCAAACAGTCGCATAAAAGTCTTAAATCTTCTAATTTTTAAACACCCTGTAGATTTTTAAGGCAAACTAATAATTGTATGTCAATGTGAGAAATAAAATTAAAATTTTGCCCTAAAAATCAATATAGAGTCGCATAAAAATTTTAGAATTTGAAATGTTTAAACACCCTGCATATTTTCAAAATTTGTAACATTTCATCAAAACACAATATTTTAATTCTGTGTCATCGTGGCCAAAGCAACTGACTTCTTTCTTAGTTTTCTTAGTTTTATTTACGCTTTTACATTCTGCCAACTATAGAAAACGAAAAACACGACCAAGATCGAAATTTTGACAGAATTACGTAAAAAAAATAAAATTTTTAACACCTTGTATATTCTGAAAGAGAAAAAAAATAATGTTCTCGCCAAAAACAACCCAAAGCTCGTTTCAAATTTTTATAAACAATTGTTTTTAATCTGTGAGGAATTAAAAAAAAGATGTTTATTATAGACTATTATTTGAAACACTCTGTATGTTTCTTATTAAGAATCTATAAAATTAAAATTTTCCCTCAAAAATCAAACAGAGAGTAGCATAAAAATTTTGTTTCAGATGCTACAACAAGCATTTTTAAGCACCCTGTATATTTTTAAAAAAATCGCAAAATGATAGCAATCGACATTTGTACATTCTGCCAACAATAGAACACAAAACATAATAATAAATAGCCATTACTGAAAAAAATCACCACCGAAAACGAAAAAAAAAATTTAATTTGAAAATAAATGAAAAATCTAAAACTGTCAGAACACTGTTTCTTATTGAAAATAAACTTAAAATTTTGTGTCAAAAATCAAACAGAGTTGAATGCTTATACGACAAGTATTTTTAAGCACCCTGTATATTTTAAAAAATATCGCAAAATTATAGCAATCGACATTTTTACATTCTGCCAACAGTAGAAAACAAAACAAAAAAAAATAATAAATAGTCATTACTGAAAAAAATTACCACCGAAAATGAAAAAAAAAGTAATTTTTCAAAATATTTTAATTTGATAATAAATAAAAAAAATCCGAAAACTGTCAGAAATGTAATTTCGTTGTCTACACCTACGCTTAAACTGCCCAAAACTCATTTCAATTTTTTTTTAATCTGTGGTGGAATTAAAAAAAAATGTTTATTATAGACTATTACTTGAAACACTCTGTATGGTTCTTATTGAGAATCTATAAAATTAAAATTTTTCTTCAAAAATCAAACACAGAGTTGCATAAAAATCTTGTTTCAGTTACTACAACAAGCATTTTTAAGCACTCTGTATATTTTAAAAATGTCGCAAAATAATAGCAACCGACTAGATTTTGAAAACTAAACACTGTTTCTTATTGAAAAATCTATAAAATTARAATTTTGCGTCAAAAATCAAACAGAGTTGAATGCTTATATGACAAGTATTTTTAAGCACCCTGTATATTTTAAAAAATATCGCAAAATGATAGCAATCGACATTTCTACATTCTGCCAACAGTAGAAAACAAAAAAATAATAATAAATGGTCATTACTGAAAAAAATCACCACCGAGAACGAAAAAAAAATTTAATTTGAAAATAAATTAAAAATCCGAAAACTATCAGAACACTGTTTCTTATTGAAAATAAAATTAAAATTTTGCGTCAAAAATCAAACATAGAGTTGAATGCTTATACGACAAGTATTTTTAAGCACCCTGTATATTTTAAAAAATATCGCAAAATGATACCAATCAACATTTCTACATTCTGCCAATAGTAGAAAACAAAACAAAAAAAAATAATAAATAGTCATTACTGAAAAAAATCACCACCGAGAACGAAAAAAAATTTTTTCAAAATATTTGAATTTCTGTGGTAGAATTAAAAAAAATGTTTATTATAGACTATTACTTGAAACATTATGTTTCTTATTGAGAATCTATAAAATTAAAATTTTCCCTCAAAAATCAAACAGAGTTGCATAAAAATCTTGTTACAGATGCTTATACGACAAATATTTTTAAACACCCTGTATATTTTAAAAAGTGTCACAAAATGATAGTAACCGACTAGATTTTTTAGTTTCATTTTCACTTTTACATTCTGCCAACCATATAAAACAAAAAACACGATCGAGAACGAAAATTTTGACAGAATTAAGTAAAAAAAATAATTAAATTAACACCTTGTATATTTAGAAAGTTAAAAAAAATAATGTTCTCAACAAAAACAACCCAAAACCCGTCTCAAATTTTTATAAACAATTTTTTTTAATCTGTGGTAGAATTAAAAAAATGTTTCTTATAGATTATTATTTGAAACACTGTATGTTTCTTATTGAGAATCTATAAAATTAAAATTTTTCTTCAAAAATCAAACAAAGTTGAATAAATATCTTGTTTCAGATGCTACAACAAGCATTTTTAAGCACCCTGTATTTTTAAAAAATGTCGTAAAATGATAGCAACCGACTAGATTTTTTAGTTGAAAACGAAACAGTTTCTTATTGAATAAAATTAAAATTTTGCGTCAAAAATGCTTATACGACGAGTATTTTTAAGCACCCTGTATATTTTAAAAAATATCGCAAAATGATACCAATCAACATTTCTACATTCTGCCAACAACAGTAAACAAAATAATAATAATAAATGGTCATTACTGAAAAAAAATCACCACCGAAAGTGAAAAAAAAAGTAATTTTTCAAAATATTTTAATTTGATAATAAATAAAAAAATCTGAAAACTGTCAGAAATGTAATTTCGTTGTCTACATCTACGCTTAAACTGTAGATTCTGGCGCAGCAACAACCTTGTATATTTTGAAAACAACCCAAAACTCGTTTAATTTTTTTTTAATCTGTGGTAGAATTAAAAAAATATATTTATTATAGACTATTACTTGAAACACTCTGTATGGTTCTTATTGAGAATATATAAAATTAAAATTTTTCTTCAAAAATCAAACACAGAGTTGCATAAAAATCTTGTTTAAGATGCTACAACAAGCATTTTTAAGCACCCTATATATTTTTAAAAATGTCGCAAAATGATAGCACCCAACTAGGTTTTTTTAGTTGAAAACTAAAGACTGTTGCTTATTGAAAATCTATAAAATTAAAATTTTGCGTCAAAAATGCTTATACGACAAGTATTTTTAAGCACCTTGTATATTTTAAAAAATATCGCAAAATGATAGCAATCGACATTTCTACATTCTGCCAACAGTAGAAAACAAAAAAATAATAATAAATAGTCATTA